CCCCCCCGGGTCATCTCCATGCAGGACAGGAGAGGCAGGGGCATAGCGGGAACCTGGTGTGAGCTGGGAATCAGCTAATTTCCAGCTCATACCCAAATCCCAGGATGCTGCTCCTCTAATTTTTAAATGTACTAAGAGCTGTCTGACTCTCAATACATTTAAAAAGCAGAGGCACAGTTGGGGGGGGAGGGGAGGAGACCCAGCATGAGCCAAGAATCCACTATCATCGAGTCCACCCCGCTGTGCGCTAGCCTTTTAAATGTATTAAGAGGTGGCTAGCTATTAATACATTTGAAAGGCAGAGCTGCAATGGAGTTAGCTCCGAGGCCTGGACCTAACCCCGCTGCGGCTCCTCTGCTTATCAACTAATCAATGTAAATTCCATTGATTAATCCATTAATTGATTCAACTAAATTTAAACATCCCTATGTACAACAGCCACACAGAAGGCAAGGTCAGCAAATGTGAGGAAGTCAGCTTCCAAAAACTGGAAACAGGGAAAACCAACCATTCCTATCACCCAGGCTGTAGGACACATGCAGTCACCTCCCGTTTCAATATTATTCATGGTAATGGGCTTAAAGCAGAACCTTGAACTCTCTGCCCCCACAGTTTGGGGGTGGAGGAAGCTAGCATCATAGTCTAAACTTAATGGCCAAGGCCAACTCTATTGATCAGTGATCTGATGAACACCTGATTTTGAATCAGTATGTGCATAAATCTGGCCATTTTTGTTGCATTCATATTTGTGCAAATCTGATCCCAAAAACCAATCCAGACATTTGATACTTAAAATAGCCCCTACCACAATGTAGCAGCTATGCTGAGCAAGGCCCCTTCCTGCCCCCAGCATTGGTCCTTCCCATATAATTGGAGCTCTTTCATCTTTCCATAGCTTCAGGCTATCTCTCTACATTCATTCCCACCCCTGCCACCAATACCCATCTCCTACAACCTAAGTCTATCCCTCTTCTCTCCATGCAGTCTTGTTTTCCAGAATTAATATTCTGTATTGTTGAATATTGGTATGGGCTATTGGGATGGTCAGGAACCAGATACAACAGTAAATCATTGTTTCATTATTAACCATCCTCCCCCAAAGAAAAAATATGTTGTAAAAATCTGACAGATCAAACATATGCAACTTGTAAGGGAATGCTCTAAGTTCAGTTTTCTAGTAGAGCACTTTAAATATGATCATTTCTTAGGAAAAATAAGGGGTTTACTGCTAATCTTCAGAACAAACATATATGCTTAGCTTCACTTTCCTCCTTTCCCCACTCTTGCCTGATGCCTTCTCGGGTTACAGCTTCACTATTTCCAGTGAACACCCTGTGGCAGAGCCAGGCAAAGGACATACCTCAGCAAACAAGTGTAACTTGCTATACACTGTGTGTGCTCAAATGCACCAAGTACAGTAAACCGAAGGGAAAAAAAAAAAAAAGTCAGACAACTATTTTTCTTTGGCTTTCGTTATGGTATACTTAGGGATTATTGCTAATACCAACTATTTTTAGATGGCAGTGTGATTTTTAAGTTGCTTGTGTCCCTTTAACATAACATCACAGTTCTTACAAAAAAGTTTAAAAGGACACACACGGTTAAGCTCATACGTCAGCTATAAAATCTGAACTCTGTCTCTTTAGCAACACTTTCCCCTTTTGTTTCCAATCCAGTGCTGGGAAAGACCGCAAGGCTTACTCTGTTGTTTTGGAGCATTCTGGGCATCCTCAGATGGTAGTTGCTATAGGAAGTGCAAAGAACCCTAGTATTAAATGGGAAAGAAACCTCATCGATACATAAAGTATAGTTTAAGGAAGTGGAATCAAGATGTCGCTACTCTTCCTATGTATTGTTAGAAGCAGTCGCAAGCCATGCAGTGTTTTACACTGTTACAGAACTCTACATCCACATTTACATCATGACTGCTGGGCACTGTCAAGGTGTCTGCATGAATACAGGAAACTTCAGTTTTGTAAAGAGAGCAAGCGAGGAAGGAACTGGTCACTTTTAGAGACTTAATACAGTATTGCTTTTCCCTTTCTTCTGTTAAAATAACTAGTCTTTTAGTTCCATCTCTCTGCTACATTTCGTACACAAAATCTGCTGGTGTACATAAAGAAAAAGGAACCATCCCTCAAAATACACACCCACCTCACTGCAAGGCTTCCCTCCTTCAAAAGCTAGAAGGGGGCTTTGCCCTGTGTCAAACAATCAAGAAATGCAGGATGTTTCACAGCAGCAATGGAAGAGAGCCCTCCTTGCAAGTAGTTTGACCAATATTTAAATCTAGGAACCATTAACTCAGATAATCTCAGCTCTCACAACCATAACACAGGAAAAGGTGTGGTATTCCAACTACAGGCAGTCCCCGGGTTACGTACAAGATAGGGACTGTAGGTTTGTTCTTAAGTTGAATTTGTATGTAAGTCGGAACTGGTACATATTGTAGGGGAAACTCCAGCCAAACATTTCTCCAGAGCTCAGTTTTATTCTCCCACACCTCACTTCCCTCAGTCCTTTATTCTCAAGCTGAGGTGTCTGCTGAGAAAAGCCGCTCCGCGTCTCCCTGGTCTGCTGGGGGGAAGCAGCTAGTGCGGGGTTGCCTCACCCCGTTTGTAAGTAGGGATCCGATGTAAGTCGGATTCATGTAACCTGGGGACTGCCTGTAGTTACATAGCCTTACAAAACAAAGCCAAATGCCTTCAATTGCATCCGAAAGAGGGGAAGAAAAAAAAAATCCAGGCCTGAATTAGATTTCCAAATGTTACCCAAAACTAGGGAAAAATGGTATTGTGTTAGAGTACACCTGTCAATGTGTACTGTTCTGTAAAGCAGAAATTAAAGGAAACAGTAAGAAGGACCTGAAACAAGGCCACTGCAACATAGCTTCAACAATCATTGGGGCCAGTAAGGGTGACCAGACATCAAGTGTGAAAAATTGGGACAGGGTGGAAGATAAGGCCCCAAGTATCAGGATGGTTCCTATAAAATTGGGACATCTGGTCACCACCATAGGCTCAATACAGTAGTAACTTAGTGAAATTCTGCATGTTATGCAAAAGGTCAAAGTACATGACCTAATTATTCCTAATCTATAAGTCTACAAATGTTATGCCTCCAAGACACACAGTGAAGGTTAAGCCATTTCTGTCACCAATTGTTTAATTATGCTTTCTTAGCACATGCTAAAACTGACATTTCCATGGGGTGGTACATTCTCTAAATAGAAAATGACATGCTGATATGAGATTTTAAAAGGTATTTAAGTTATTGCCCATGCTAGCAATAAGGAACGTATGCTGAAGCAATATAGACATGTCAGTTTTGTTCAGTACGTTAATATTCAAGGCTACACTGGCTTTGTTTCTTGTTTTCTTTTGCCAACGGC